CGTTCACAAAATATGTAAACCTCTAAACTGTGCATTACCGGTCCCCGGGGACCGGTGGCTTGGCGCAAACACGCTGCGTTACCGACCGTCGGGGACCGGTAATGACGTAATTATTTTTTTTATTTCTACAGTTTTACAATATAAATTATAAGAGTTTTAAGATCAATTATTAAAAGTAAAAACATTTAAAAACTTACCATTGTCATTCGTTTTTTGATCAGGTTTCCTGTTAAGAATATTTTTGAAGTGTCAAGACAGCTACTATTTTTTTACAGATTTAGATTAAAAGAGTAAATGATACAAAACTTCTTAATATTTTATTAGTGTAAATGATATTTGAAAACAAAAAATATGTCCTAAACTAAATAATATGTTATTAGTTATTAAACAAAAAACAATAAAGTTTCAGGAAATTAAACAATTTTTTCTTAATTATTAAACAAAAAACAATACAGTTTCAGAAAAATAAACTATTTTTTATGAATGCTATTAAAGCAAGATAAACACATTCCTGTTTGACCAGGACATTCATTGCAATAACTTGTTACTTTTGTCACCATATTACTTGCCTGTTTGCTTGAATGTGTTTCTCTTAATTTATGATAGCATCCTTGGCATTGTCTTCTCCTTTTCTTTCCAGGTCCTGATGGTTTAACAAAAGTATGGATAACTCTTTTGGGAGTAGTGGTGTTTTCGTATGCAACTGGAGTAACAAGTAACTCTTGTGCCAATCTTTTTCTAAATTCCATTATAGATAACTTTGTGGAACAAGTAATATTGTTATAAACAATCCAGGCATTTACAATAGATGTTTCGAGCAAAAATTCAAAAGCTAGTTTACGGTACCATTTTAAACTTTTTCTTAAAACGGAATGATACGAACTCATCTGATCACTAAAGTCTACTCCTTTTTTTTGCTTGATTGTAATCAATAATTGCCTTTGGTTTCATCATAAGCTCACGTTGCCAGTTCCGCTTTCCTGTTGGTTTTAAGGTAGTTGTATGGGTTGGATCAGTACTTAACATCAGAACTGGCCGTTTGTCCATCCATCTTATAATACGTAACGAGTTGTTCTGAGCACCCCAAATTTCTCCTTTTTTCATTTTTTTAGGTATCGTTTTGGGAATACCTCTTCTGTTAGACCTCAGGGTTCCACAATAAATTTTTTTTTTTTTTGAATAACGATTTGGCTAAAGGTAAACTGGAGTAATAATTATCAGCATACAAGTAGCGGTAGTAACCATCTTTGAATTCAACATTTTGGAGAAGGTCATATACTATCTGCTCACTTTGACAAGTATTTGCATTAGTAGTCGTATTTTTACCACGATAAACGATTATGTTGTTAGTATATCCATCCACTGTACATAATTTATATAATTTAATTCCATACGGGTGTGTTTTATTTGGGAGATATTGCTTTATTTGTAGTCTTCCTTGATAAGGTACTATACTTTCATCGACAACCAAAATCCGTCCTGGTGTTAATGCAGCTTGAAAATTTTTATTCAATACTTTTAAAACTTCACCTAACTTATAGAGCCGATCATCTTTATTACACTGCTCATTATTACAAAAATGAATGCAACGCATCAATAAAAGGAACCTGTCTCGTCTCATGGTATTAGTAATAAACTCATTCCTGAACATGGGATCTTTTGACCAATACAAATTTATTGCGGGACCATCAACTAATCCCATAACTATACATATTGAAAAAAAAAGTTTAAGTTCGGCTACATCGCAGTCAACCCAGGAACGTATACGTGATTTTGATCGATGTATATTTAACAACATTTGCCGAGCAAATCTATTTGTTTCAGTAACAATATTCTGTAAAAGATCATCAGTTACAAATAACTTGTAAGCGTCTATAGGATTTTTTATTTCATTAACGTTAAAATTTAATACAGGCAACTCTTGATATTGTTGCAACTCATCAGCTTCATTGTCACTCTCATTTATATCATGCCACTCGTTTTCATCATCATTTTCAGATTCTGACATTTTTTTACTTTCAATTTCTGTCTCATTATTATCATCAAATAAATCACTCGTACTTACATCACTGCAAGAGTCATCTGAAGAAAGAACATAGTTTTTGTCGATTACAGAATCGTCCGAATCAAACGGATCGTCCCGTTCATTTTCACTGTCACTGTTTGGCAACTCTGCAAGCACATGATCTCTTGAATCACCATTACTTTGGCGCGCATTTACAACACTTGGGTTATCTTCGTTATATTTTTTATTTTCAAATGAAGTACTCGGTTCGTTACACTCTACAGTTTTTGTTTTGTTTGTATCAGCTGTTTTAGCTAAAAACAAAATCTTTTTAACGCGAGATGACATTTTTAGACTAGTAAAACACAGACATAAACACACCTGCTATTGAAATACAAACGATACTAAACGTGGATTGACTGCGCAAGCAAGCATATATAAATATGCACCGGTCCCACAGGACCGGTCTCGCACCCGAGTAATAAATTGTAATGTCTGTGCGTTACCGGCCCCCAAAGCCCGGTACATTTTTTTCTTTTAAAAATGTTTGGAATCTTGAAACAAGTATAATGCTGTTTTTAGCATTTAAAACAAACGAATATTAACGAAGATATGCTTTTCGCAATTTTTAAAAGTTTGCAGTTTTCACATACCGCACTTTAATAATAACGAACACCGGTCCCACGGGACCGGTAACGCAGTCAACCTGTTAAATAAATAGTGATTATACTGTATACCATATGAATATATGTCAAAGATATTAATATATTTAAAAATAACAATTAATTAGAAACTTTTTGACATAATATTTACATTTTTATTAACTTTTTTAAAATAGTTACACGCCTATGAGCGTCACCCTCACCTTTATCAATTTCACTTATTTCGAGGAAGGATGAATGTCAGGAATTACACAAAAATATTTTGTGTGTTCCTTACAAATTAGGTTTTTATAATTTGACTTTCAGAATTTTTGTCTGAGTTTTTCGGTTCTTCCTCTTAGGATAAAAGGAATATTTATTAGATTCTCGTTTTATTTCTAGAGGCTCTGCATCATCCCTAATTCCCAAATAGTCTCTTGCCGCGGATTCATTTTACTAAAAGATACGAATAAAAAATGGCAACGTATCACTAGAAGAAGATAAAGAAAAATACTGTAGGCAGAGACGATTGGTAAAAATGACAGTCACACAAGCAAAAGCAAAAACATGGAAGGAATTTGGAGAAGAACTTCAGGAAGAATATATAACAAATAATAGATACTTTTGGACGACAATACGACACATAAGGCAAGGAAAATGAAAGGAAATAAACGCAGTAAGAGATACATCAAACCAAATACGAATAAGCCCAGAACAAGTAGCTAGGGTATGGAAAAAATATTATGAGAAAAAATTTGATACCGAAGTGATAAAGGAAGACAATATAATCAATGAAGACGAAGAAAACAAATAAGTAGAGAAGAAGTAATAGAAGGATTATCAAATATAAAAATAAGCAAGGCAGGTGGAGATGATGAAATTGAACGGGAAATGGTAAAATACATGGAAGAGGAAGGAATAAACTCGATATGGAAAATATATAAAGAGGCGTAGGAAAAACAAACAATCCCTAAAGACTGGCAGAACAATATCATCGTGCCAATATACAAAAAAGGAGCACATGTAAAGTGCGACAACTATAGAGCAATATGTCCGTCATCAGTATGCTTTTAAATATATATTGGAAGAGAGGTATTAAACAAAGAGGTAGTCTCAGCTATTTTAGCTATTCATAATAGTAATGAACGAATTGATAAGAAACACTAGAGTCAGAAGCAGTCAACTACAGACAATAATATGTTGCCATAGATTACAACCGGTAACAATAGAGTCTTTAATATATGCAGACGACATAGTGCTAATAGCAGATTCCGAGAATAAAATGCAGAAACTCATTGATATATGGGTAGAACAAATAGAAAAAATAACAATGGAGATAAACGAGAAAAAAATAAGATAATGATAGTCAGCGCAAAGGAGATAAGGAAGATAATCAAATAAAGATAAAATGTAAAAACTCATAATTTAAAATAGTGACAACTTACGAATACGTGGAAAGTGTAATAACTGATGACAGAAAAATAAACTGGAAAATAACAAATAGAGCAAAGAAATTAAACAAGTTATACTATGCTTTAGCCTCAATAATGGGAAAAAAAGGGAACTTGCGCGAGAAACAAGAATAAAAATATATAACACAATAGTGATACCGACTGTGCTCTATGCAAGTGAAAACTGGATAATTCTGGAAAAACATTAGAGCAGAATAAACGCAATGGAGATGAGACATCTAAGACGGATAGTTGGAAAGACAAAATGGGATAGATTAAGCAACGAGACTATTAGGAGAATGGACAGCCAGGAACCGATAATAAACAAAATAACAAAGAGACAAATAAACTGGTATGGGCATCTGATGAGGATGCAAGCCAATAGAATAACAAGAAAAGTTAATGAAGCAAAAAGCATCGGAAAAAGGAAAAGAGTCAGATTAAGAAAAAAATGGATACAGCAAGTAGTAGAGGCGGGAAAACTTAAACAAAAATCACTCGAGGAATTGAAAATAATGGCAGGAAACAGAAAAGAATGAAAGAGGTGGGTTAATGGAAATTAAAATGGCTAGCCCAAATCCGACACCCCGATAGGGTAAAAGGAAGGGGAGAAAGAAAGAAAGAAACACACAAAGAATATTTCGCTCAAGTATCACACCATACTGACCGCCTAAAATATTCTGAAATGTTATCATCTCTAATTAACGATGCTAAACGCAAGTCATCAAAGTTGAGGGTTAAGAAGCTTATACTTAAAAAAATGTATTAGATTTTATTATTTTTATTTTCTTTTTATAAGACAAATTAAGAATTAAAAAAACTCGAAAGCGTTAATCACATATGACATTTAAGAAACCTCTACAAGAAAATCCCGTTGGTTTAACAAAAACTTATTTTTTGCAGGTTGACCTTTGCATAGAGCCTGGCCAAAGCTTGGGCTTAATGATTCGAGGGGGCGTCGAATACAATTTGGGAATCTTCATCACAGGCGTTGACAAGGATTCGGTAGCGGACAGGGCTGGATTAATGGTAAGACGATTTATATAATACAACACATAAAAACGCAAAATAAATTTGTGTTCATTTAGAAATTCAATAACAATATTTTTTCTAGCTAGAAATTTGAACACAACAAAAAAGAGAAAGAAATGTTCTGATTATAAAATTTAAAAAAATACAAGATCTATCTATCTGGCAACGCCTAAATTGTTTCAATACATTTTTTAATACTAACTATTTTCAAATACATTAAAACGTAACAATTGATAGTTTAGAAAATTTTTTAACATAATAGTTACAATAAAAAAGAGGTTAATCTTTGTAAGTGGGTATATTTATTTAAAAACCCTTAAAAGGGCTACATCAAAAAAACAAACATTTTCGGACTAAACAGTCCATCATCAGGTTTAAAATCTGCTAGGTTAAAATGCCTGAGCCACCAAAATACATGGGTAAAACCCTTTAAATTTCTTATAGTTATCAAAGATTATACATCTTGTTGTTAAAAAACTGTGATGTTCATTATTAAATTAGATATGACTTCAGGTAACATACATTGTAAAAAGTTTTGAGTTCCAGAGCCGGGGAGAAACCTCAACGCACGGAGAACAGCTGGAAACTGATAGTACGTTAATAGTTACGTTATTAAGTGTTCAAAATGTGCTCCAGTTGTGAGTTGACAGCACTGTAATCGATGGTAGAATGCGTCTACCACATTTCTCCATGATTGTCTAGAAATTATTCAAGATTCATCGATAATTCATTGCCTTAGCTATGCAAGACTTGCTGGTTAAGTTTTGTAAACTGAATTTTTCAAGTATCTCTAATAAAAATAATCTTTAGGATTGAGATCGGGTGAACGTGGAGGCCATTCAATTCTACCTTGTCTACCAATTTATCGTCCTGGAAATATCTCATCTAAATAGCGCCGAACAGTTACACCAACTATCTGACGTTAAATTTCTTTCGATAAAAAATGGCCTAAAGAAGAAGAATATTGGAACTATGATTGACAAGTGCCATAGTTGAAGGAATACCTTATTGATCCATACAAAAAATTGAAAAGTTGCAATAATAGTTCTTGGCCAACTAGTGATAGGTTCTGTATAAAAAGCTCAGGTAGATTATCTGGTCCTGGACTAGTATTTCTAACAAAGTTAAGAGTTTTAATAAGTTTAGTAAAGCTTATAGGATTATTTATTGGTAGAGTGTCATTGATTAATGCTATTTCTTTATTTTCTTTTAATCGTTTCTTATTTAAGAATTACATTGAATAGCTTTCATCACTAAAAGCGGTACAATATTGATTTGTTATAGAGGTATTTCACATATATTGCATTCGGACGTAAATGTCTAATGGTTTTTTGTAAGTACTTTATAGAGGGATGTAATTTTTTTTCGAAAAATTCTTCTAATCATGTTCCAGATTTGATATATTGATATTGATTTCTGAAACAAACTGTTGCCATGACTCTTGCTTGCTTTTTTTTTTTAAATAAATCTACATTTAGCTCTTATTGTTTTAAATTTTAAATGATTTTTAGTAGTTCTATATTATTTATACCATATATATAGCAACGACTGTCAAACTCAATAAGAAGTAATATAACACATGTGATAAGGTACAAAATGCAAGCTGACAAGCATAGTACGCCTCTGGTTTAAATTTCAAAAATATAAGCATAAAGCTTATATTATTACTTCCATAGGATTAGTATACTTTTAAAATTTTCTGTTTATTGTTATTATATATACATATCATAGTTTTAGTTATTATAGTTTGTTTATGAAATGGCCATTGTGCTATCGATTTTGCTGCTGGCCCAGTGCCAATTCCGTTGTTGGATTGTACCATAAAAAGTGCATATTTTGGATTATCTATGAAATCGAAATGTCAAAGAGGTGCTAAAACAGATTTATTAGAGGGTAAAAAAGGCAAATTGCCAAAGGTTGTAAAACTCGGAGCCCATATGCATGTGTTTCGGACTTCATAATAAACTAGTGAATTAAATAAATAAGTGTGACAAAATTCATCTCATATCTATACATAGAATACATACACTAGACACGCTGGTAATAAAAAATTAAAAAGCTAAAAACAAGAATATATACATTTTTGTGATCTTTTCTTTAGTCGTATTATAGGGTAAAATGATGAATATAATGATAAAAAAAAATAAGCATAAGTACTAAGTACTAAGAACTAAGCTTGTAGTTGTATTTATAAAAACTTGAACTATATTAAGAATATTTAGAAATATTTAAATTTATCGTTGGATGAGGAACAATTTTTTTTAATAATCAGATAATCTGTTTTGAGAAAAAAACAAACATTTGGGAAATTTCAAGAAATTCAAAGGAGTAGTAAATAAAAACCACAAAAAAGTTTGTCGTTAACGAAATAGGCAGCAGTTCTCAACCTGTGGTACATCTACTACCAGTGGCAGATATCATTATTTGCGGTGGTACTCCACACGCAAAAACACAAAACATAGAGAAAATCAGGACCGCATAAAATAACACAAAAAAAATACAATAGTATTTGACGTTACAAGTTTAGTAGGTCTCTTCTTTTTCTTTAAATTTTATCTTTTATCGAAGGCTGGAAATCATCATGACTATGCGGATCCTGTTGACTGCCGCCCTAAATAGTTCGGCACTACTGCATTCAAACCATTTCATCAAGTTCTTAAGCCATGATATTCTACATCTTCCCACATTTCGCTTTTCTCGAATTTTGTCTTGCATACTAAGCTGAAATCATGAGTATCTTTACCCTCTCATAACATGGTCTAAGTACTTAAGTTTTTTTCTTTTGATAGTTATTATTATTTAAGCTTCATTTTCTATTCTTGTAGTAACGTCTGCATCTGACATTCTTTGAGTCCATGATATTCGTGTAACTTCCTTAGATGCCCTTGGTTTAATGTCCATGCTTCCAAGTCATAAAAAAAAGTAGTGAGTATCTATCACCGAAGTATTATTAGTAGTCCTAACCTTAGCTAAAGTTTAACGAATGATGCACGTGCTATTTCAATACGTGTCCTAATTTATATGGTTTGATCTACATTTAATGTTATGCATGTCTCTTTTGTTGTTTTCCGTCATATTTACTGTATCGTCTGCCAACCGCAAGTTATTCAAAACTTCTCCATTGATCAGATTAATCAGCGGTAATTAAGTAGTAATTAAGATATCATTAGTGGGTGATATCAATGGCCATGGCTGTAAGTTATCACGATAAATTCAAGTAAACGTAGGTAGGTAAGCGAAATATTTAAATATTTATAATGTTTCCTATTCGTACCGAAACGGACGCACTACTAGTCCAACAAAATAATGCGATGTTCGCAGAGAATAAACAACGTTCACAAAATGAGCAGTCGTTTTATAATACCTGGTGTCAGTCAGAAGAAAATGTTAAGAGACTTAATATGGATAATCAATGGTTGAGTCAAATATTCGCCGATATGGAAAAGAGATAAGCACAGCTGGAAAAAGCCGAACAACATACAGGGTTAACCGCAAGTGCATGAATCACAAAAGAAATTAAAAACAGATAAACTTGAATACTGCACCGATGAAAAAGATTTAGCGTATGAAACGGGCTGGATAAGAACGAAAAATAGGAAAACTAATAAAAAACGTAAAATGGATACCTCATTATCTCAAAAATTGAAACTGTGCAGAAACACAAATTGAAAAACCAATCAAAAAAACCAAAACCACCACCTCCGGTTGTAGTAGAAGGTTTTCAAAGTGCTGTTGACCTGAGCAAGCTTCTTACTGAGGCTGGTATTACCTTCACTATGAAAATCATAAACAGTGAAGTTGTAAAAATTAATACAGCCAGTAGCGATTATTACGGAGCTTTAATAGACAAATTAAATACGAGTAACCTTTCGTACCACACTTATGAAAATAAGCAAGGGAGACCAATTAGAGTTGTTGTTAAGAAATTACATCACACATGGCCACCAGAGGAAAAAGTAAAAGACCTACAAAAAAGACAGTATAAAGCCATAAAACCTGACAAGAAATTCAAATGGAAAACTAAAAACAACTAGATATGTTCATCCTAACATTTAGACAGGATGGAGATATAAATAGAATTTACGGCACAACAGACATACTTAGTACGAGAGTTGAAATGGAACCATTAAGGAGTTCCAGATTAGTCCCACAATGTAAAAGATGCCAGGCTTACAAACACACGTGGAAAAACTGTAAAAAGGAGCCAAGATGTGTAAAATGTATTTGTAAAAACCTTACTAAAGATTGCCAAAAACCACCAGAAGATAAACCAAAATGTGTTCATTGTGGAGAAAACCATCCTGCAAACTACCGCGGATGGTATGTAGCTAAAAAATTACAAATAATAAGAAACGAGAGAACAAACAAACGCAATGTTATAAAAGCGCCCCATAGAGGTATTGAAAGCAAAAAACTAAAAACGGCAGAAGTCAGTGAAAATAGAAGTTACAGCGATGTAACAAAGAATGCAAGGAGACATGCATCATAGCAACAAGAAAAAGAAACCGATATTACATTAAAAATGATATTGGAAAAGCTCACCAAGATTGATGACAAAATAACTCAAATCGATATTAGAGTTACCCGACTAGAGCATAGCGCTAAAGGAGCTATTCCAAAAATCAGAAATGGCTAAAGACCTCAGAATAATGGCGTGGAACGCAAATGGACTGTTACAATATCAGATCGAGTTGCAAGCAGTACTAGATATTGAGAAAATTGATATGTGTCTCGTTTTTGAAACACACTTCACTAAACAGTCATATGTAAAATTTAGGGGGTATAGAGTATATTCTACTGTACACCCAGGTAATGCAGCTAAAGGAAGAAGCGCTATTATAATTAAAGATAACATCTTGCATCATGAGGAATTAAAATATGCAACTGAGCACATATAAGCTATAACAGTCTGTGTAAAGATGAGAAGATATACCTTAAATATAAGTTCAATATATTGTCCTCCTAGACACTCCATTAAAAGAGAGCAATATAAATAT